CATCTTCCTGACACTCACCCTTTACATATTGATTAACATTAATGAGCCCCTCAGTCTCCTCCAAGATAAACAGAACCAGCTCCCTCAGCTTTTCCTCATAAGGGAGATGTTCCACTCAGACCTTACCTCTTGACCCATCCCCTCCTTAAACCCTCCAGCTTTTTCTACTTGTGTCCAAAAGCCTTGTGGATCAGTGATTCCAGAGACTTTCACAACTCGGGGAGGAACAATCCCACCAACATAAAGGACAGGTCTCTTGTGCAACCTTGCATATCCCTACTGTGTTTTATCCCATCTCTGTGAAGTCAAAGAGGAGGATTTAATTTTGTGCCACTGGGAAGGAGAAGAATACCAAATTACAGGCAGGTAAACTCTGAACCTTTGTCTCGTGTAGCCATATCAAACAAAGAAAAGGAGACATCTCCTTTAAACTGCCAACGTCCCTTCTGCAGAAAGGTGCTTGGAGAACCAAGAACCAAAATGGAAACATTTGAAAATCCTCTTAGGTGAACTCAAACCATTTTGTCCAACCTAAACTATGGGGGTTTTTTGTTTGGTTGGTTGTTTTGTGTTTTGTTTTGTGAAGCCTTTATATTCACTTTAGACTGTTTTTAAGTAGAAAATTACTAAAAAAACCTCAATAATTTTGCTTAATAAGTGGCTAAATTCCTCCTTGGCCCAAAGGGAAATACAGGCTGTCCTGGTGACAAGGTGTTCACAGAGAGTCACAAGACTGTGGAAAGTCCTCATTTTGGCCAGCTAGAATTTCTGAAAAAAACCCTAATTTTTGACCAATAGTCACGACCCATGAGTAGGTAGGAGAAATGGCTTTTCACCCTGAAAATCCTTCTTATCCTAATTTTCACTGCCAAAACACACTGAGCATCTCCAGAAATGGATTTTCACATATGCCTTGTGAATCTCCACATCTAGCTAGGGCAGGGCTAATAGGTCTGAGATTTATTTAGTTGCTCTCCTATTTACCATATCTAACATGATGAATTTTTATTGAAAGTTTCTTATCCACATTCCTGTTTCAGTAGAAACCTGTACTGTGTTTTATGCATGAGTTTTACACTGCTGCAGCTAGAAGGCATGCAGATGAGGAATGCCTCTCCACATAATCTCCTGGCTAGGAACTATAAATAATTCTCACTGAGCTCCAAGCAGAAAACCACAAATTGTGATGTAAAATGTATTTCCATGAAGTTCTACGGATGAACACAAAAGAGAAGCAGAAGGGAAAATGATTCAACTGATGGGCATGGGTGAAGCAGAGAGCAGTTTAGGGTGAACTCCAGGTGGACACTGTGGCCGACTCATTGCTTTCCTAGAAACGAGAGTCACCAAGCTGAATGTTAGAAGATCCCTTATATGGGGTCTCAGGTGCCACTGCAGCCAAATCTGGGGAACTCTCCTCTCAGATCAGAGCAACTGGGAGAGTAAGAACCACCACCTTCATTTCCTACTCCTGCTCTTTGTATGCCAGAGCTACAGATCTTGTACCAAAGAGAAAGAAGTTTACTGGTGATGTAGACTACAATTAAGTGATCCAAAGCCTGCTGAAGGCCATCATTTGTTTCAAATTATTTAAACTAAAAGAGGGTGGATTCACATTGCAAATAAGGAAGAAATTCTTTACAGTAAAGGTGGGGAGACACTGGCAGAGGTAGCCCAGAATTTACGGATCCCCATCCCTAGAAATGTTCAAGGCCAAGTTGAATGGCGCTTGAGCAACCTAACGAAAGGTGTTCCTGACCATGTTGTGGGCAGGGGGTTGGTTGAGATGGTCTTTAAAAGGTCACCTCCAACCCAAATAATTGTATGGTTCTGTGATAAATTTTAAAAGGTTTGGGATAAAGTCCTAAACCACAATGAGCTGTGGCTCCCAATTCAGTGAGAGAGCAGGAGAAACAGTGCTACTGGCAAATGCCACTCTACACCAGTAAGAGGACTGGAATGCCAGCATGCAGCCCTACACACTGTCATTCCAAGGAGCTATAACGATCAGTAACTCTTTGGATTTATGATCAATCTGAATTTCATGTACAATTTTCATAATCTGTGTCATAATTACAAAAAATGCAAATAACTTTTTAATATCAATGTTAAAAAGAATGGGCAAATCTCTCACAGCATTTTTATTGCCTATTTACAATCTCAAATCAAATGGTTTACAATGCTGTGTTCTGAAAATATACAACGTAAGAAAACACTAGCCTGACAAAATTATGCTTTTATGACAATGACAGGGATGAGTTATAGTTACTCTAGTTAAACTCTAATGGTTGCACAGATGTTAGAAAAAGCTATTGTACAAAATGTTTTGCCACCATAAGCATGGCACCTGCTAGCTCCACCACTATACATCTGAGCCTGTTAACATTTCTTTATGAATATTATTTTCAAGGATTACATTTGGACCATAAACATTCACTTGGGGATAAAATATCAGCATGCAGGCTTTAAAAAAGTACCTTAAGAAATACTCAGCCAGTTTTGCATGTCTGGATTTCAAAGCAGGTTTATGAGAGGTAATATATAGTTTGTTTCTGATCTTGCAGGAGTAAAAAATGATCTGCATTCTTACGGTCTGTGTGAATTTGCAGCAGGTGGATTAAGTGATGTTTACAGTGCCAGAAAGTAACTCCTTCAGCCTACTGCTGTCTATCAGGAAATATTATTATCATTATTATTATTATTGCTGTTGTTGTTATTATTATTAATCCACAATTTTTCTATTACAGAAATGGCAATGGCAGGAATTTTCTGTTTGTCTTGCCAAGCTGCCCCTGCACCCACCCATGGTCCCACCCACTCCTGGGTTGCCGCTCAAGGACACCAGCACTGGCTGTTATGACCCACCCCCATTTGCTGAATTTACCCTCACAAACCAGCCACTGAGATGGAAATTTAATCTAAGTATTATTTTCCACTGAAATGGGTGAGGAATGCAGTGGCCATGAGCTCTTGCCCAGAGAGCAGAGCTACCACCAGCCATAATGGACATTATATGTGTGCTAGACATGGGTGAGCTGATTGCACTCCCCACAGCAAGAAAAAACAGCAACTGAGGTAAATAACATTACTAAATATATGTCACTACAATCATTTGCTCTGATTCCTGTTACTGAAAACTTTACCTATTCTGCACTGCCAGTAAATATGTGAGAAAGTTGGTCAAAGAGTATTGTCTAACTTCCTTAGCAAGGCAATTTTCAGAAATAGAGTATGAGGAACTGAAAACCTTTGTGTTGTGTAAAATCAGAGTCACCGAGCCCAGCTCTGCTTTTAGAAAATTGTTATAAGTCAAAAGCAAGACTGTTTGAATTTTGAATTCCTGGAACCTCGGTGAGGTGAAACACCTCCAAAGAGAAGAACTGCTGCTAAAAATCGAAGTAAACATTTACTCTTATCTCAAGGTTTGTGATTTTTAGTGAGGGAAAATCTTCCCCAGTGTGTCACACAGCTTCTTCTTCACTTCACTGAGAAATATTCTCAGCTGGACAGAGTATGAATGAAGATCAGACACTATGTATTTCATTCTCCACCACTGAATCTGCTCTATCTTGCTCAATATTAAACCCTCCTAAGGCCTTAGGCAGCAGTAGTTGACCCTTTGCATGAAGACCTCCTCTGCACTGGATGCCTCATGCATATGCCTATTGATGCATTTTAGAGTGGAGATTTTTATTATTGTTATTTTGAGTATCTCCTCTGGCTTCATATTCCCAAGAAACACTTCTTGTATCTATTTTTCGTTGTCATGTATTTCCCCCCTACTGCCTGCTCCAATGCATTGTTACAGTTCACAGGAAAAAGTCCATCTTTGTCAAAACTCTAGGGGCCACTTCAGCATCACTTTAAAGGGCTCTTTATCACTCAGATGAATTTTCCCCTAATTTAATCCTTTAACTCCAAAAGAGGTTTGGGAATATACTTTGTATGGAAGATGCTACAGAAAACAAAAGTTACATGGCTAGTGGTTCTGCTTTTACATTTCTATCCAGGTAACCCCCTGCACACCAATTTGCTTTCTCTTTCCCAGTACCCATTCCCTCCTGGGGCTGGTTCCTGGGACGGAGCTGTCTTCAAATAATTTAATTATCATGCAGCTTACACCTTTTTTGCACCCCCCTGAAATGGTGTGTGATGCCTTTGGTTTACATCACTAGTTGGAAAACACTCCAAAGCATTGAAAAACTATTAAATTGTTACAGTATTGGATGCCAACACACAAGGCTATTAGTCTAATTCATCCTTCAGATCAAAGCCCACACAGGCAGCTCTCCTGCCTACAGCTATTTTCCTTTTACTTTCCTGCCTGACAGTAGTCCCTCTTATCCCTCTGTTCTGCTTTCTTTGAACATACACATTTTCCTTTAGTCATGGAAATATAATTTATGTCTATTACACTGTATTATAGATTGCAGATCAGGACAGGCGTGCGTTCCTGCCTGGAACCTCAGTTTACTGCACGTTTATTAATTTATTTCTCGAAATAAATAAATAAGAAGGGCACGCGGCTCCGCCGGGGAAGGGAAAGCACCGAGGGGGAGGGCTGAGGGGCCGGGGGGG